CCCCAAAACCCCAAAACCCCAAAACCCCTTCCATAAGAATTTTGAAGAATTTAGAAATTTAGGTTTTAAAATATGAAAGATTATAAATTTTTTGAAATTTAAATATGCAAAGAGGTAATAACAATTTCGGAGGAGGAACTCCAAACTAAACATAGTACTCATAGCAATAATAATTTGGCTAGATGGGTTTTTCATCTAATTAACCTCCACTTACCTAATAGTAATAGCAGTAGAACCTTGTAAAGCTGAAGTACAGAGTGATATATTGCAGTGGAGAAGATCCTGAGTACCCAGTAACTGAATTACTTGATCCCACTCCTAACTCGAGAGGATGGTAATCTCAAAAATTTTGTGACTATCCATAAGAAGTCATAGTTCAATTCCCAAATGTTGTTAGACTAAAGCAACTGTAATTTTTATCACATCAAGCTAAGATTGCATCAAGAATTGAGCTATTCACTTACCTGCCTAGTGGTCAATAAGCTTTCAATAATCAAATCCCCTTATCTGAAATTTAATACAAGCGTCTTGGTTATTTATCCCTAGATCCCAATGAAAGAAGTGGGTTTTAAGCTAGAGAATTGAAATCAGTATATGTTGATTCATTAGCAGTAATTTTGAAGTTGATCTTTCATAAATGCCATCTCAATAACTTCAATGTCTTCAACTAAATAGGATTAGTAGCATTGAATTGTATAGGCTTAAATTAGGCTTAATAAATCCCATCTGATATTGGCATGGGTGATGATGGAACACCTAATTCTTAATAGTCTAAGAGATAATTTAATGACTTTGAAAATGTAGATCCAGAAATTACAAGCAAAATAAAGATTCTTGAATAGGCTAAAGACAAAGCAGTGTAAAATGAAAATTTTGACGAGGCAAAAAAAATTAAAGAAGGAATTGAAAGGCTAAGAAGTGTTGGTATTCATATAATGTAATTGGATGAAAGAAAAAGAATGGCTACAATGAATGAGGATTATGATGCTGCAAAGATTATAAAAATTGAAATTGAAAAGCTTAAAGAGGCTTCTTATAATCCTTGGCTAGAGGGGATAATTCAAGGCATTACTCAACCACATTAGCAAATGAGATATACCTAGAATTAGTTTTAATAACCACAGGCTTAATAATTCAATGCATCTCAGTAGAATTTTGGAGGATTTAATAAAGGTCCACCTTAGATGGCAACTTCACTTGAAGATGACATGTAAACAAAAATAAATATTGGAGGGCAGCCACCTAAGATGAGAATGTAATCACCAAAGATTGAAGGAGCAATGAGTCCTCCGTCTATTTAAAATTAATTACCAATAAATAATATCGGAAGAGGTAAGGAAAGGAAGGTTTCAGATTACGAGTAGGAATTGGAACAAGCTAGAGGACCAATTGATGTTGATGCTTAAGTCATTCCAACCATGAATGGTAATAAGGGTAAAAATAATGCTCCCTAGGAATATGAAGATGGCTATGAAGATAGTAAAGAAGTAGAAGACCTTACTGGAGATAGAATAATGCAAGCATAACCATTAATGGCAGTTTTTGGACCAGATGATGTCAAAAAAATATTTTCCAAAACATGGTAACTGAGAGAAGAGGGAATTACTAGCATTGAAAATATGGTAATCAATGAGGGAGGCTTGAATGAGGGCAAAGCTTTCGTGAATGGAGTTGGAGCAGTAAGATATACTGTAAATGATAAGATGGCCTAGGTCGCATAGAAATCTATGACCTTCTTAACTAACCTTTGCAGAAATCTTAAGCCTATTCTTAATCCAGGACTTAAGGGTGAATTGCAATCTTACACAGAACCTATTATTTCTTCACTAGTAGAAAAACTTGGAGACAATCTGATGAAGGTCAGAAGTAGTGCTGAGGATGCCATTCTTGCTATGACTGAGCACCAAGCATTTGGTAGTTAGGTTGTTTTATAGATTCTTACTAGGCCTCCAGGTTCAGGCGCAGCCAAAGACAACAAGAAGAATATGATGTCAAATAAGCATATCATCGGAAAATATTCAGTTCTTTTAAGAATGCTTTAGGCAGTTGAGTTCAACCCAGAATAGCTGAGAACTAGTGTATAGTTCTCGCTTAAGGGTATTTAGCATAATCTATAGGACATTAGAAATGTAGCTTATAAGTGCATGACAGAAATTTATCGCTCTATGGGACCTGAAATTAGAAAGCATTTGGAAGGACTAAGACCAGCTTAGTTAGAGTAGTTAGAAGCAGCATTTTCTGAAGTAGATGGAATGCCTGGAGGTGGTGGTTTAAAGTTGAAGAATGATGGACCAAAGGAAACGATATCTACGAATATAGATCCATATGGTGTCAAAGGTGGACCAGTTGCAAAAAACAAAAAGCCTCCTCAAGGTAAGCCTCAGAGTAAATATGATGATGATGAAGAGGACATTGGCGGTGGAGGTGGTGGTTTCGGCGGAGGCGGAGGTGCTGGACCTACTTCAGGGAACAAGGGCGGCAAGCCAACCATAAACTAAAACTAAAAGTAATAATAATAGAAGCCGTAGAAAAATTAATAGCAGACTACTCCTGAGGAATAGACTTGTGGTTTCTGTGGCAGATTTGACTAGGAGTTCAATGATGAATCTCTTGATATTCATTACTGGAAAGAGTGCCCAATGCTTGTTTAATGCTGGGACTGCGGACAGGTCATTGAGATATCAACTCTGAATGAACATCTATTAGAGGAATGCGAGAGAGCAGAGGATTATAAACTATGCTCGAAGTGCAAAGGTGTGTGGCGAGTTGATGAATTCAATGGTCATGAGTGTCTCAGACCAAGACCTAATGGAGCAGTTAAATGCCAACTTTGTAAGGAAAATGTGCATCCCATTGATGATGAAGGTTGGAAGAAGCATGTCTTATAAGATAAGTGTGTAGGTAATCAGAGACTTCCAATGTGATTTCATTATATTTTATATTTTACCAAGGATAGCAGCAAATCAATATTAATTGCATAGAGTATTAATTCTCATTTTAATTTCCTCAATTTCTTTATAATTTTTGTTTGCGGGGTTTTGGGGTTTTGGGGTTTTGGGGG